ATAAATAAATAAATAAATAAATAAATAAATAAATAAATAAAATGTTATGGGTAAAATGTATAATTCTATTTCACTGAAATGCATAGGTTGGGTTTCTATAACACTTTACAGGGAGAATCCAGGGATTCTCAAACACAGTGGCACCATGACCTTCTAAAATGGTAAAATGAATTTATGTGACCCTCCCCACCTCCATGAATGAAACTTATTATTTCACTGAGGTTAGGATTGGGCAAGAAATAAAAATAACACTTAATTTTCATATTTACATTTTAATCTATATATTGAATAAAATGATTGAATCTTGTGACTTTATAAAACAAAACTATCATCAGAAGTAAAAGAAAAAAAATGTAAAATGTACAACTTTTGTTTTAATGGGAAGGATGAGCTTGGCTTACTTTGCATAATATCTGAAATCTGCTTTTTAGTTTGAAGACACCCATTCTTGTTCCACCAAAGTCAGGGGGATTAAAAAGTGTGTTTCCTTGTCTTAAATCAGCTTCTCTTAAAATAGCACAGCTTGTAAGATGTCTGTTGCTTCTGGAACTCTCAGTCCCAGTGCAGCCCCACTGAGTAAACAATCATAGTCCATTTTTTCCCCTTCATTGCCCTCCTCCCTTCCCCTCTCTTGTAATTCCTTCTGCAGAGGGAGCATTGGTTCAGATGGTCAGAGCTTTCCATGGAAGGCTCATGCTCTCTTGGCATGATAGCTCCTCCTTTGAAAGGCGTTAAAAACCCCAAACTTCATAGGTTCATACAGAGCTCTGGAAGCATCACCTTGGTTTGCATTCAGCATACTTTTGCATCCACCTGGTAAGCCTGCTCAGGAAGGAGTGTAACGAGGGGATCTCTGGTGACTCTTCATCCATTGTTTCATAAATCCTCTGAGAGTCATGGCCAACACTCTGATAAACAGTGGACTAAACTAAAACAGGATTGGGTTGCTTCTGATAATTAGTATGTTGCAGAAAGCCAGCTATAGTCTTAGCATGTTGTATGAACCTGACCATTACCTTAAGCCATGATAGGGCTTTTTACTTACGAATCCTACTTGGATTGTGTCAACTAGGCGACATGCTCGTTAGTGGCACATGAAAACTGCAGTTACCCAGATGGGAGAAAGACATAAAAGGCATTTGGGAAATAACTGAATGATGCTGATGGAGAAGTAACAACAGAAAACTCGGTGCCAAACCAAAGCCAGACATGATAACATCAAGGAAAAATACTACTGTGAATTGTGCATAGATCATCTTAGATTTTCAATTTTTAACAAAAGTTTGGATTTTCTCCTAAATTATGTTGCTGAGATGAATACCATAGTAGGTGACAGATTACATATGAAGGAACCAAGCTTTTAAAGATATTTTCACTTTTCTACTTGGCAGACAATACATTATACATATATTTTTATGTTTATCATAAGGAATGGGTAGAGAAGTAATATGTACAAAAGATTTTAGGAAATGTGCATTGTAAAATATATTTTGAGATAGCTAAATGTTCACTGGATCCCAATCTTTTATTTTACTACTGCAACATTTAACTCATAAGTAGATTAAATTAAAATAATGAAAACACACTGACAGACTAAGGAGGACACCCCCCCCAAAAAAAACCCCAGGGATCAAATTTTACACAAGTTCTCCTTCAAACAAGTATTTAAAAAAAAATGGGAATTCTTTTTCTCCCATGGTACCTGATTTAACTGTGAATAATCTAATAAGCAATGTTAAAGACGATATATCTGTAGATTTAATTGGTCTTTTTCAAGTGACTAAGGTTTGTTTAACCAAGGGGAGCCAGATTACTGCTGACATAGAGATTTTTTTCATTCTTCTTCCACTGCAGTCCTCTAGGTCTCCCACTCTCCAAAAAGGTTTTTCAGAGGATATGGAAAAGGCTACAGCAGTGTTTTTCAAACTTGGCGACTTTAAGATGTCTTGTCTTCAATTCCCAGAATTCCCCAGCTAGCATGCTGGCTGGGGAATTGTGGGAGTTGAAGTCCACACATTCAGTCCACACAGTCAAGATCTTTTGACCATACAACCACTGGTGTGTGTGCATGTATAACAACATATAATATTTCACCAAAATGTATTTTTAAAAAAAGCAATGAGAGAGATGGCAGAAGCTGTTGCTGTGCTGCAAAAGCACATTTTGGTCCTATCAAACGTTAGCGTTACTCGGATTTATAATTAGCAGGTGAAACCTCGAGCAGCAGCTGCAGATAGCAAGTAATTTTATCCAGCAACTCAAAATGTATTTTAAAATGTATAAAAGGCAGGTAGAAAAGAAAACCACCAAGCATGAAAAGGGAAGCATATACATACTGCACTTTCGGGGACCAAATTACAGGAACCAAAACTAAGAACAAGGAAATGGCCACCATTCCAAAGGCAACTGGTAAACAAACCTGTAAAATATAAAGACAGAGTTAAGAGAACAGGAATCAAATAGACGAACAAGCAAGGAAGAAATGCAGACATACACACACTTCATATTCTGGACACGAATCAGCATTAGGCACAATCTTGCCAGAGTTGCATTACACCAACCATTTCTTATGGATTTTCTGAGTACATACAATCAGCTTACGGTCACTAGGGAAACCATAAATAACCATGGAGACACTTTTCTGAAATGTGAGGTTTAAGCAATCACCTTACAATAATTTGCCTGAACTCACTCAGTCTTGCATATAGCTACTATGTACAGGACTGCACTGTTAAAACTATTTTTTAAAAAAGTGAATTTCATGACTGCAAAATCAGCATTGCCTGTGAAGTTTTTCTTCCACATTCTCTACCACCTAAACAGAATTTACTCATTGTAGGACACACATTAGAGTAAGGCTGGATGTGCTTCTCAGAATCAGATGAGCTGTAGGGAACCACAAACAGGTTAAACACACATTTGTCCTATCAGCATACGTATAGGGCTGCAACAAGGATCTACTCGTGCCTAAGAAAGGAAGCAAAGCATTTTACTGCACTGAATTCTGCAGTTTTTAAGCCTCTGCCCTCCCAGTCAAAGGCACCAGAAAATTGCTTTAGGGAGCAAAGTGCAGTGAAGTAGGACAAGAACAGCATAGGTTTCCCTCCTCCATTCGTCTACACGCAGCATTTTGTGTACAGAACAGCCTTCCTTCGTCCTGATGGTCTGTGTTAAGAAGACAAATGTGTATTTTACCCAGAAACACACACTATAATCCATGTAGCACAGTGTTGTCCAAACTTGGCCACTTTAAGATGAGTGGACTTCAACTCCCAGAATTCCCTGGCTGGGGAATT